ATAAATTTCCCGAGTTAAGTTTATTTTTACATTCCATTTGAAATTGTTTATCATTGTGTGGTTTATATTCAAACATATTATATAGAACTTGTTGGTTTGTGTTTCTTATATTTATCATATGTTATACTATAGTTTTTACGCATATCTGATTCTACCAATAACAGTTCGGATAGATGAGAGTAAATCCATATTCGCTTCCGTTTGTCATAAAAAAATATTTTTCAAAACTTAATTTTTAATAAGAAAACTTTTATTTGGTGATCTATTCAACCCCCCTTCTAGGTCATAGTCCTCGTCTAACGTGTGGTATCAAGAGCACTAGTTTATCTTGTGCTTAAAATTCTCTTATTAGATTATGCCTTCCAAAATAAAATGGGCGTATAATAAAATGCTAGTTTTCAATTGCGAGAATTATGGTTATTGGAAGGATTGCATGTGTATCCATATCAATTCTTTTGATAGAAAAGTATGGAGCACCATCAAAAATGGTCCATTTGAAATTACTATGACCAATGTAGATGGTGTTGCTGTACCTAAACCGTGAGCACAATGGGATGCAGAAGATGTGAAAAAGTGGTTTAGTGATTTGAAATCAAGGAATATTATAATCTCTGATTTAGGAGTTAATGAATATTACAACGTTTGTGATTGCGAAACCATTAAAGCTATGTGGGACACATTACAAGTTGTCCATGAGGGTACAAATGAATTCAAACAATCTAGAATCAACACTTTGAATCAAGAGTTTGAAGTCTTTCACATGAAGCATGGTGAAACCATTGCCAATATGCAAAAGAGATTCACTCATCTTGTAAACGATTTGAATGCACTTGGTAAACCTACAACCCATGATGAAGAGATCATCTTAATTTCTATTGGACCAACAACCAAAATCAAAGTGGTAACCAAGTTATGCAACAAAATCAACAAGCTTTTAATTTCCAAGGGAATTCCTCTCAGTTGGAAGAGACCTTGGAAAATTTCATGAAAACCACTCAACATTATAAAGTAACAATGGTCAAGACATTGTCAACTCATCAATCCACATGAAATATTAGAGATCCGCGTGGAACTCTTACTAGCCAATCAAAATACAAATGCCACAACTATCCATCTTGGATGCAAAATGCTGAAATTTAAACTCAACAAATTGAAAACAATGATAATGAAAGCAAAAGCAGGAAAATATTTCAAGGTCGGTTTTTAATGTAATATGTTCTCAAGTAATTCCTTGTTAAAAATGTTTATTGTTAGTTAGAAAAGCATGAAAGCAACTTATTAATGTTAGTTGTAGTTGTATCAAGTAAAATGTTTAATATTGTTGTTGTTGTTGTTGTTGCTGAAATTTAATATTTAATAATTCTATTGATTTTATTTATTTGTTGTTGTTGGATTTGTTGTTGCTGTTGAGATTTAACATTTAAAAATTATATGGATTTTGTTGTTGTTATTGTTGTTGTTGAGATTTAATGTTTAAAGATTCTATTATTTTTGTTATTATTATTATTATTGGTGGTGTTGTTGATGATAATAAGGAAGATTTAAAATTTGTCAACAAATTTGATGCTTTATAGAGCTTTATAGATTAAAACGAGAAAAAAAAGTTAAAACTAAAATTTTGTAAACAGGACTTCACCCCTCGGTTATTGTTTAAAACCGAGGTAAAAAGTAGTGCAATTTTAAAAATACAAAAAATAAGTTGTTAGGGATCGAACCCATGACCAGTGTCATTTTCCCCCTTGTTTATTCAAAAACCGAGGCGTAAAGTGGCAGGTTTTCATGTCGTCATTTGTTACCTCGCTTGTGTAACCAAGATTATATCTCATTCATGTCCTAGGTGAAATGAGGTTATTCGTAACAGTGTTAGCAAATCCCTTATGTTTCAACCTGGTCTGCCTAAAAGATATTGGTCTTATGAAGTCTTTCATGCACTATTTGTTATAAACATAATTTTTACAAAGATATTACAAAACAAGTATTCATATAAAGTTCTATATGGAAATACATCTGATCTCAGTTCATTGAAGGTGTTTGGATGCTTGAGCTATGCTTCAACATTGCCTAATAATAGACATAAATTTGATCTAAGAGCAAGGAAATGTTATTTCTTGGGATATAAGACAGGTATGAAAGGCTTTTTTCTTTTGGGTTGTAAACCAAGAAATCATTGATTCTCGAAATGTTCAATTTTTTGACTTGGAGTTTCCTTATCATGATAATTCAAATGTTGTTGTATCTATAAACACATACCTTGATCCATCTTTAAACTAGAGCTTAGCTAAATCCAGTCTTAATCAACATAGTCCATCATCATCTTAACCTACTATTTACCTAAACCTGAACATGCATCTCAGCCTATCATGTTAACTGACCCTGAACATATATCCATTGAACCTGAACCTGAACCTGCATTGTCTAACCTTGTCCCATTTGAATTATCTTCTAAAATAGGCGCCCATACCATTATTTCAAACATTTTTCATCATCCTGATATAAAAAAATCTACCAAAATGACAAATCCTCTTAATCATCTCAAAGACTACATTTGCACTTCTAATGTTTCTACCTCATGTTAATATCCCATAGCTAATTTCATCTCATATTCTAAGCTCTCATCCAACCACCAAGTCTATATTGTGTCATTATCTTCAAAAATTGAACCTTCAAACTATTAAGCTGTAACAAAGTTTTCTAGATGGATTGCATCAATGAATAGAGAAGTTGAGGCTCTCAATGATAATCACACATGAGAGTCTGTAGATCTGCCTAATGATGTTTCTACTATAGGAAATAAATGGATGTATAAGTTAAAAGGGCATGTTGATGGCTCCATAGAACAATTTAAAGCAAGATTTATGGCACAAGCTTTTAATCAAACCAAAGTTTTGGATTATTTTGAAACTTTTTCACCAAAAGCCAAAATTTCCACAGTTCGAGTTTTGCTTGCTTTGGCTTCCATTCATGGATGACATTTACATCAATTAGATGTAAATAATGCCTTCCTCCATTGATATTTGCATGAAATTTGTGTACACGAAGGTACCACAAGGTGTGATACATCCCAAACCAGGTCAGGTGTGTAGGCTCATCAAGTTACTCCATGGATTGAAACAAGCAAGTCGCCAATGGTTTGAAAAATTAACTACCTTTCTTCATGCAAAAGGCTTCGTTCATGCTCATGTTGATCATACACTTTTCACCATGTCTACTCCTACATCATTCACAATTCTCCTTGTTTATATGGATGACATAATACTATCAGGTACCTCCTTAATTATGTTTGATGATTTAAAACGAGCATTAGATAACACTTTTCATATAAAAGATCTTGGCCAGTTAAAATTTTTTTTGGGCTTAAAGTAGCACTCTGTATCAAAGAAAAAACTACTTGAAGTTGCTTCATGATTCAGGTCTTAATGGTTGTAAACCAACTTCTATTCCTTTGGATGCTTCCACTCAATTACATCAAGATGGCAACTCAAGTTTTATTGATGTCACTACATATATATATATATATATACCACCACACGACCCGATATTTTATCACACAACAATTAAGCCAATTTATGAGTGTTCCTACTGAACTTCACAATCGTGGAGCTTTACATGTTCTACGATGTCCTCAGATTTGCAAATTCTTGGAATCAATGATGCTAATTGGGGTGATTATTTTGATGCAAGGCGATCTATTTCTGGCCATTGTTTCTTCATCGATAAATCTCTCGTATCTTGGAAGTCCAAGAAACAAGCTTCAATGAGTTTTTTATTTGCAGTGGCAGAGTACCAGACTCTTGCTTTAGTTACTCATGAGCTTCAATGGTTGTGTTTTTTGCTTCATTATTTTAAGCAACATCCTTCTTGTTTGCCGGTTTTCTACTATGACAATCAAAATACTCTTTACATTTATGAAAATCGAGTATTTCACGAGCGCATGAAACATTTGAATATTAATTGCCACTTGGTTCATGAAAAACCTCAAGCCGACTTCATGAGGTTACTTCTCGAATCTTCTTAAAATCAAGCAATTTATATTTTCACCAAAGCTCTTGGATCTCAACCATTTAATGAGTGTTTATCCAAGATTGCCTTGGTAGTCATCTACCAACCTCAAACTTGTTAGAGAGGCGGTAATAAACTTACAAGATGAAGAAAAGATAGATTCACAAGTGCAAGTTTCTTAAGGTCCACATTATAGCCATACCGTGCATGAAAATACACACAACATGCATATTTTTCAATGTTTTTTTTTGTTTTATTTTTTATTCTCATTTAGAGAGTTAGTAGCCATTCATATGTGGCATACCTATCTTGATTAGTTTTAGTAGATGTAAATAGAAGTGTGTAATTACTTTTCTAACGAGAGAAAAATTTCATCTTCTTCATTTTCCACTTTCTTCATTCTCTGAATAAACACGTCAAATTACTTTGAATCTTAACATTTTTAAGGAACATGAATATTGATTTTGACCACGGAATTCCTTGCTCAACACTACACAACAACCAACGTAAATTTGCACCACCTCTTCTATCCTATCGAAATTATATTCGACATAAACACGTGTTTTATTTCTCAAAGAACACTTACACAAATTGGTTAGATAATGAAAGGATTGTGTTGGGAAAATATAAATATCTATTTTTACTAAATTTGTATAATTGATTAAATTCAAAAATATTTTATTTAGATTTTCCGGATTTAAAAAATTTAATTAAACAACCACTTTAAGATATAGTAGTATTCACCAATAGTATTTATTTTACATGATTTTACTGAATTTAATTTCATGAGTTAAAACTGTACTACCGTTTACTTTGTGCCAACCGCAGCAGCTGACAACTCAACACTGATTTCAGTCTCTTTCCCTTTTCTCACTAATCTCTCAAACTAACAAACTTGACGACTTAAACCCTTTCCATTGATTCCTTCAATTTTCCCATTTTCTCTCTTCTTTCCTTCCACTTTCTCGCTACCCAAACAATCCACCGTAACAACCTTTCCGATGGCGTCGGAATCCGCCGAAGAAGACAAATCATGGGAACACATCCTCCGCCGTATGCTTCCCGCCGGCGCACCGTTACCCGACGAAGATCACCTCGATTACTCCATCGCTGTTGAGTATGAAGGTCCTCCTGTTCCTTATGATGTTCCTAGAGTCGATCCGCTCGAAATCGGCACCTCTACAACTTCGATTCGCACAGCCTCTATATCCTCTGATCGTTCCACTTCCTCGATTCCCGTCGCCATGCCGGTTTATCCTCGTTTCTCGAGGTTTAGTAGAGTTCCAAACGGCGGTTTCAGCCGCGAATTTCGAAGTCCGGTTGAGAGTCAAAGGTCGAGTTCTGTTTCGAGAACTCAATCTCAGTTCGATTCGCGTAGCGGTGAAGTTGAAGTCGATCGGTTTGATTTTTCCGGTGAAGTAGCCGCCGTGGACGACGGTAGTTCCGTTTCGTCGCCTACAGTTCCGAGTTCTGCTCCGATTCCGTCTCCCGCCGTCGAAGTTAAACGACCTACTGTGGTAACCTTTAATGAACCTAGGGATTCTGAGTCCGACGGCGGAGATAGTTATCTCTCGCCGCGGTCTGTTGCAACTGAGCCAGTTGGATCACCTGTTTCCGCGGCGGCACGGAAAAACGCTCAGGTGAAACGAGGTGTTTGTAGTAGGTGCGGGAATAAAAATAGGTTGAAAGAGAAAGAAGCGTGTTTGGTTTGTGATGCAAGGTATTGTAGTAACTGTGTTTTGAAAGCTATGGGTTCAATGCCTGAAGGAAGGAAATGTGTGAGTTGTATTGGACAACCAATAGACGAGGGTAAGAGATCGACTTTAGGGAAGTGTTCAAGAATGTTGAGTAGAGTTTGTAGTCCTTTGGAGATTAATCAGATTATGAAAGCTGAAAAAGAGTGTGCTGCCAATCAGCTTCGGCCGGAGCAGCTTATTGTTAATGGTAGGCAGTTGAGGCAGGAAGAGTTGGCTGAGATTTTGGGTTGTCCGGTCCCTCCTCAGAAGTTGAAGCCTGGGAGGTACTGGTATGATAAGGATTCTGGACTCTGGGGAAAGGTGAAAATGAGAAAAATAGATATGAAAAATAACTATTTTGTAGTCTTTAAAAATGTTTTTGAATGATTTTTAGGGTAGTTGCTATTTTTAGATTGTTTTTGTTGTTGTTGTTGTTAATTTGGAAACGGTGGGTTTTCAGGAGGGAGAGAAGCCTGATAAGATAATAAGTTCGAAGCTGAATATTGGAGGCAAGCTTCAACCAGAAGCAAGCAATGGGAACACTAGAGTCTACATGAATGGCCGAGAAATAACAAAGATTGAGCTTAGAATGTTGAAGGTAATCTTGTTTCACTCTCCTTTTGTTTTGGCTTGGATTCAGTTTACAGTGGAATGTGAAAATGTGGAGATTAATAGGTGTACTAGGATGCCTACTTTTTAAAATCCTTGTGAGTTTTTCTAGCTAGGGCTTCCATATACCTTATTGACTGAGTATTCATTGTAGAGTTCTGCAATTTTTAGCAAATTGGTTGTCTTAGAAACAGAAATCGGTATAAACCCTTTTCCTCCTATATTGGATTATAGATATTTCTCTTACTAAGCAGCACTTAGCTTTTGAACGAGGCTTGCTGTAGTTAAAATCTTGTCAAGCACCAACACCGTTTAATTAAAAGGCAGTTAATGAGCTAATCTATGTGCACAGGGTAAAATAAAATATTATCAACGAAAAGCCGTGTTTATAAAATCTTGGACAAGTGAAAACCATTACATTTTTCTCATGGACAGTTTCCTTTAAGATTCTTGAATACAAAATAGTACTTGTTGATGATAATGCTTCTACTAGATTTATAGCTTAATTATCTCTTAGATTTGGTGTGGAATTAATTTATTTGTGGTTTTTCTGAGTCCATAAATTTTTTCGTTGTTATATTTTATGTACAATTTGGAGCTGAAGTGTCTACTTTGACTTGGTAAACTTTCCTTTTTTTGTCTGCTTCTAATCTCTGTTTCATCTTCTGCACCTTTATATATCTTTTGAAGAACATTTTTTGCCAAAGCAATGTAAGATCTTGTGAAGCGTTTCTTGAAAGAAAGATGGCAAGAACCTTTCTGTAAACAATCATGCTCCCCTCTTTTAATATAGCTTGACAATGTCCAGTCAGTGAAAGGAAGATTGAATCTTCATTTTCTCATTACTATATATATGATTCATTTCAATTATATACCATTAAGCTTGGATTTTTCACTGTTGATCTTTTGTATCTAACTGCGCTGAAAGTATGCAAATCGCATGTTTATATGTTTATAACTTGTTGCTCTTGTCAACATCAAACTATGTTTACTTCATTTTTTCTATGTTTATACTGCTCTTGTAAACATCAAACTATGTGTAACTTGTTTATTTATCTCTTCAGCTTGCAAACGTTCAATGTCCACGAGATACCCATTTCTGGGTTTATGATGATGGATCCTATGAGGAAGAAGGCCAAAATAATATCAAGGGGAACATATGGGGAAAGGTTCTCTCTTATCTGATAATAGTAATATATACCTGCTGTATTTTGAGCTTGCAACTGTCTTGATTTGGTTTTTATTTTTTATACAATATTGGTTTGGTTTATGGTAGGCAGGCGTCCACTCGTTTCATCTGTTCATTATTCTCTTTGCCTGTACCATCTACTAATCCTCTTGGAGTCAAAGATAATCCCACTAACTATTCAACAAGGTCAGTGCCTGAGTATTTGGAGCAGGGTAGAGTTCAGAAACTTTTGCTGTTTGGAATGGAAGGATCTGGAACAGCTACTCTCTTTAAACAGGTATGTTTATTGCTTCTTTATCTTGCACTCCCTGTCCCATTGTTCTTTGTAGTCATCCATTTAATGTGGATGGTTTGGGGTATTTTGGCTTTCCATTTTCTGCTGAATAAAGGGCTTAATGACGAGCCGCAGTTTATTTGCTTGGTTCATAGAGGAATGAATGGTTGTGGACTGCTAGTGACGGTAGTTCACAGTAATTCAATAGACTATTTGTTAATGATTTTAGATGTTGTAAGAATATACGAACAGTATCATATAATATCTTACTGTACCATTTTGTTCGCATGCTTAACTGTACTTTCAGATTGTTTTCTAAATCTCCTTATATTTGTATCATGATTTGTTTCCTTATTTTAGTAGGATTAAGATTCTAGTAGTAGTGTATTACTATAACTAAAGATTAGTGTACTGTCCTTTTTAATAACATCCAATTTATCAGTGGTTTGGGGGGAGGACATAGGGGTTGTTGTGATAAGGAGGTCATCCTTTCAACTCCCCCGGTACCTACAAAATATAAAGTAACAACCGACATTTGCCATTCAAGAAGAAAAAAAAGGTTAACACCCAGTATATTATTCACATCAAGCTATAAGTTTGAAATATGATTTTATTTTCTTATACATTATTTTTCCTCTCCCAATAGACTTAATGTATAAATTTAACAGATATGTTTTCATACACTCTGTCATGCAAGTAATAAATGATTCTAATTGAGTTTAAGCTATATATGTAAATCTTATACTTGCATAAATATTTGTTGTATATTTACATATTTGCTTTCAAATGCTTCGATGCCTATACAATAGCTCTATGCATAAATGTCATGTGTGCTTTTGACAATCATAAAATGTCATAATGCATGCTCATATATCCGTACACTTGTAAATGTATACGTAGATGTTTAGAAATTTTGTCATAAACAAAAGATGTGTAGAAGTTTGATTTTATCTAGTTTCAATGATGGAGATGGACTTGCCCCCCTATTTTCCTATTTTGGTATTTTTTATGATGTGCCTATTTTAGATGATTATCATAAATCTGTTCACTTGGTGTTTATTCTATAGTTGGTTACCAATTGTTCTCTTGGCTTTAATTTTTTACCGTCAATATCCTTCGAACAGGCCAAGTTTTTATATGGGAACAAGTTTTCTGCTGATGAGTTGCAAGACATCAAACTCATGATTCAAAGCAGTATGTACAAGTATCTCAGCATTCTGCTTGAAGGAAGAGAGCAGTTTGAAGAGGAAGCTCTGGAAGAGAAAGAGTCTACTTCATTAGAAGGTGAAGGATCTGGACCAGGTATGGCTTTACTTTTCTTCCCTTACTTCATTCACTGTGTTGGTGCTGTTTCACTTTAAGTTGAAGTGTCACTGGCTCACTTCAATTTTTGTTTGGCTCACTGCCTCACTGTTTCTCTTTCAGTTAATGGTTCTATTTTATTGCATTTGTTTTTGGTCTCAAATCTCATTTTACCATCAATGGTTTTCTTATGAGAGAAATGACAGAAAGTCTGAAAATGTTCACATTTGTTCTGTATGTTTCTTGGAACTTTAAATCAAACCTTTAGTACTTGAGTCATTTGTTATACAGATGTTAAACTGCGTCAAATTCAACAATAATGAACATTTATTATTATAAAGACAATTTAAACGTATAACTGATAACAGCAACAACACCAAGTCTATCTCATATTCTGACTAGATGGTTCGACAATATGCACAGTACCATTGAGCTCAATATCAAAAACCAAATTTTCAATAAAACCGTTGTTGGGAGTTACTTTATCTTAGTAGGAATTCTAAATGCCTTTGGTAAATTCTGAGTTCTGTGAGTGAATCTAACTAACTCTGCAATATACGTTTAGCAGAAACAGCAACTGATGAAAACAAGCCAAGCATTTACTCGATCAATCAAAGATTCAAGCATTTTTCTGATTGGTTGCTGGATATTATGGCTACGGGGGATTTGGAGGCCTTCTTCCCTGCTGCTACACGTGAGTATGCTCCTATGGTGGATGAGATATGGAAAGATCCTGCTGTTCAGGAAACATATAAGAGAAGAGAGGAATTGCATAATCTTCCCGATGTTGCTAAATATTTCTTAGATCGGGTATGTTGCTACCATTGCATTCTTTCTTCTTGAGCAGTATTTGGTGTAGTTTTGTCTTGTATATCACTTTTCACTTGTGGATATGAGCTATTAATTTTATTAATATTACAACTAAAACATCAATTTGCCTTTTCCATTCTGGAGTTAATTCAATGCACCTGGCCTTAGTGCTTGCTGGAGCTATTATTCTACCTGTTATTCCTTTTTAATTTTGTTACATTAGGAATAGCTAAAATGTTCAAATATGTGCAAGAGTTGCAGTGCAACTTATCAGGTTATATGAAGAAACCTGAGTGGTAAAACAAGGCATATGCTGAGAAGGACTTGAATTGAAACAGCACCATTAATTAAAAGGGAAGAATTTAAAAAGCAAAGGACTTAAAAAGTGGCCATTTATCATCAATTAAAAGGAAAGAATTTAAAAGGATTGATGGTTAAATATGTTGGCTCTAGAATAAATGAACAAACTTCTTCTGGACTTAACTGTTGATTGTGTACTGGCTTGTTCTATCTAGGTCACTTGTACATTGGGTTTATTGTTTGGTAGCATTCTTTTAAACATTTGCTATATATGATGGCATCACATTTGGCTAATTGGGCAAGTTTGTAGTTCATTCATAATATTATTTTTATATGAACTTAGTGATCGAGTGACTCTCTCATGAAGGTTTAGCGTAGTGTATGCATTCTGTAAATTTGTACTACATATTCTGACATTATCTTTAGAAGAAAAGTATAATTTGCATGGATATGGCCCTATAATGTAACCTTGTATTTGAAGTGATTAATTGCAATTGGACTCAACCTCAAGAGCATATGTCTGTAAAACACCTAGCTGAGACATAAGTTAAGACTCACTGGAAGCCTCGGTAGATATATTATAGTTTAAACCATTTATAAATTGGTCAAGATTCACTTATACCATTGGGGATCTAAATAATCATTGCACTTAGAAACTATTTAAGGCGATTTTATCAGATGTTTCATTTTATACCAGTCAAAGATTTTTTACCTTGTCTGTATATGTTAATATTAACATTTATTATACTCCCCAATTGTGTAAACTATTAACCATTTGGCAATTACTTGTTGAGAATTTTCTCAAGTTTGCACTTGATTTTTACTTGTAATTTAACCATAAAATATAAATATACTAAATTTACTTTCCATATGGAGGTATTGGATGGTTTATGTATGCTCTTTGATCATTTTCAATTGGTTCTTACCCTATCTAATCAGATATCCACGAAATATTTAAACCACATCAAGGAAAAGAAAGGTGTGAAAACAATAATGGCTTCCATATCAGCTTATTAGGTGTTAAAGTTTATATCATCTCAACAAACAATTGAGAGTAAATGTTATTAGTTGATTGGTATGTTATTTACAATTTATGAGTAATGACTATTAGGCATGTTCATAGTTTGGTTTATAGGAGAAAACAGAACCAAATCAAACTGAGCCATATAAACAGTTCGAGAAAACCAAACCGAACTGGAATCAATTCACCTGAACAAAATCAAACTGGTCCTGTAGTTTTAATTCTGAACTGAACTGGTTTCTTAACTGTTTGAAATTTTGCATCTTTTATCAAAATCGAAACCCTAAATGACGAAGATGTACTCCATTTTTGTTCATTATTTGGATTCACTGCTTGTAACTTCATGTGACTGGTTCTGCATAAGATATTCAATGGATTTTGTTATAAACCAACATATTGCAGCATTAGTAAGCAACACTTCTTCCCTTAAATGACCGATGCCTTTGTTATGTTATGTTAAGGTAGAAGCTCCACTGTACCGAAAAAGGATATACTGTGTAAAAGTGATTTTCCTTAGATCCACTGGAAAAACATCACTATGTTATGATAAAACTTGGGGATATGAATGATCACATGTTTCTCATATTTCTCACAACAGAAGCTTCACTCCAATTCCTTGCCAAAGGAAGCAACTCTTTCAACCAAAAATTTCACCTAATGAAAAAGAGGCATTCAGAGTTCATCTCAATTCACTGAACTGTAGAAACTGGAAGATTGAAGTTTGCTAACTTCACTATGGAATGAAGATTGAGAACAGAACCTTCAAAAGAATTTCTAAAAATACTCTGTAACTTTGAAAATCATGATCTTAAGTTATATTACTCATTCCCTATTGTTTGGTTTATCTAAAACTTGTCTGTAGAATATAAAATAATAGATGTTTGTCTTGTGCTTTTTCTTATTTAAAATATTCCTAGGTTGAATATGATTGGATTTCACTAACTTATTTCAAATATGATATGTCGTCTTTTATTGTTTTTGATTTGTCATTTGTCTATAGCAATAATTTTAAGGATGTGCTGTAAATATAATACTTTCTGTTTGGTGCTGTAAATACAATAGTTTCTGTTATCACTAAACATATGTGATCTTGCGCAGGCAATTGAAATATCAAGCAATGAGTATGAACCTTCCGATAAGGATATATTATATGCTGAAGGAGTTACACAAAGCAATGGTCTTGCTTTCATGGAATTTTCATTTGATGATAGGAGTCCTATGTCTGAGATATACAGCGAGAACTTAAATAACCCAGCTCCTCAAACCAAGTAAATCTTCTCTTCCATTTCCTTTTGTCTTGTTTTGTGGAAGCTTCTGAAAATGTTCTTAACTCCGTAATATTGTCCTTGGCCCAGATTTCAACTGATTCGCATTAATTCGAAGGGATTACGTGATGGCTGCAAATGGTTGGAAATGTTTGAAGATGTGAGGGTAGTCATTTTTTGTGTTGCCTTGAGTGACTATGACCACATGTGGCCTACTAGTACCGGTAAGCTTCAGAACAAATTGCTAGCGAGCCGAGATCTTTTCGAGAGTCTGGTGAGGCATCCCTGTTTTAAAGATACCCCTTTTGTGCTTTTGCTAAATAAGTATGATGCCTTTGAAGACAAGATAAACAAAGCTCCTCTGTCAACTTGTGAGTGGTTTTCAGATTTCTGTCCAGTAAGGCCTCATCACAACAATCATGTTCTAGCACACCAAGCATATTACTATATAGCTGTAAGGTTCAAGGAGCTTTATTATTCCTTAACTGGCCAGAAGTTGTTTGTGGGGCAAACTCGAGGTCGGGATCGTGTCTCAGTCGACGAGGCATTCAAGTACGTTAGGGAGATCATCAAATGGGAGGATGAGAAGGATGAATTGTATGAAATCAATCCAGAAGAGTCGTTTTACAGTACAGAGATGAGTTCTGCTTTCATCAGACAGGAATGAATTCCCAACATTTGGTAACCCTTCGATAGGATACTAAACGGGAGAAAGGAGTCTCACCGAGCAATGCATTTATGAAGTACTGAGAGGTCATTTGGCTGACCTATGTGAAGTATGTTGTTTTGTTTTGGTCTTCTAGGATCTTCCTGATCAGGTTCTTTATGATTTTTTTCTCATGATAAATAAGCTAATTTGTTGAGAGGTTGTAAATGAAGAGGTAATTTGTTGTCTGTACAGCTTATATTGATAAGTGAGCAGCTTAAATTGAAAAATATATATTCGTTTTTCCTTAACCGGCCATTATTTATTCAATTGAAACAAGATATTATCTTTGTCCATAAATATAGAATTCTCTTGAAAAACCTTCATTTTTTTTAGCTGAGATGATTTCTTTATTAAAATGTCTTTAATTTGTTAGGATTAAGTACAAAAAGTTATTATTTTTTCTTCTTATAACCATTTTGGTAATTGAATTTGCAAGGATTGAGTGATGGGTCTGGGTAATTGGTAATTGGTAATTGATAGTCATTTTTGGTAATTTTTTTCAGTATTTTTCTTTCTTATTTTAATATTTTGCCTTTTTAGTATTTTGGTAATTGAATTTGTTAGTGAAGAACGGAGAAATCTCTGAGTTTTCACAATTTCAAATAAAAGGTATTTGGACATACATAAAAAATATAAATATCATTTAATTTTTTAAAATATAAACATTATCTTATCTTTTTCCTTCTATGTATATGTTTAAATTGTGTGTTTAAATTCTGTGTCCTCAAGATTTTGAATTTGGATCCTCTAATTTCTAGTCTCTACTTTCTTCTAACTTTTTCTAACTCATGATTTAATTTCTCATATTTTTTTCCTCAAAGTAAACATCATCTCTCTTTTGTCTTATTCATTTTCCCCCCTTAAAAGTCACTCTACCTTTCGCTCCCAAAAAGTAGAGGATCCTTACCCTCAAGATAGTCAATAAATGGAGATCCTCTCTCATACCGTTATTTAACACCTTTAGGGTTGTCAAGTTCCCACATTAAGTATATGATATGTTGGTCCACACGTGATTGCCACCTAATAAAGGCCAAAATAAAGAATCCAAATGATTATCTTATAAGATATTTATACACATATTAAAGAATAATTATCATTTATATATAGATTAAAGAATGTTAATAATATAACATAGTAGAAAATCTTTTATGGTGTGAAGGGACTATATCTACTATTAAATTGGAAAGTAGTACTAGGATAAATATCTTCTTTTACTTTCTTGCATTTTATTTTTTTCTGTACTTATATTCAAAGTTCATGTACTTAATTTTGAAAACTTTTCAAAATCTTCTACACGAGAAGGATCTAGTAGTGAAAGTGCAATTCCAGAACATATGTAAAAGTTGAAGCGACATTCTTGTCCATGTTACAACTAGGAGTCATTGAAACTTGTTGCACAAAGATGTTCGATAAAATGTTTGAATGAGAGCTTGAATTTGAGAAAATTAAATAATATCCACTAACTTAGAAGTGTCAAGATTGCTTGAAATCACCAAACAATGAGTAAATCAATCAAACCACAATCCAATTTTGCAAATAAGCACACCCTTATGTGAGTGGAGGGGATTTTGAAAGATGAGATTTGAGTAAGAACCACTTCAATTGTGACTCTGATGATGATGAGGATGTGATGGAATTGGTGGAGGTTAAGAGAATTATATGTTTGGATTTTGTTGGAGATTGAAGATGAAGAATTTTTGTGTAAGAGGAATGAGTTTCTAATAGCAGTTAGAAGTGTAAAGTGAGAATAAGTGGACAAACCATATGTTTATGCAAGAATATCGCTATGCATCAACCTACAGAAGCGATGCGTCAACTCATATGTGTTATGCGTCGATGCATACTGTTGTGTTCAATTTTTTTTAATGTGGCAATATGCGTCGACTTGTAGAGGACTATGAGTAGATGCATGATGGACATAACCAAAATGCTCATTTTTTTTAATATTTAGAGATCGACTTATAACTCTTATGGGTCGATACATAGAGTTGCAAACTTACAAAATCATGTAAAAACTATCATTTTTATTGAATGAAATGATACTTAAGATGCCCAAATACATATACTTAAAATGAAAAGACTAAATGACATGAAATATAGTTGATGAGAAGATCAAATATGATGTCATTATAAACATATTAAATGGGAATACTCAAGAGTACTCAATGAAATTTTTGAAAGTGTACACATATGAATTTCATCATACATCAAGTATATCATACAATTTTGAGCACAACAAACAATAACATAAGGCAAGTCATACAAGTAATACATGTAGTTTAAAATAAACTTATACACAAAGAGAGAAGTGAAATAATATTACCTCTTGGACGAAAGACCGAGGAAGTAATCACTTACACTTCTTTACTTGTATAGCCAATGATGAAATTACTTAGTTATCAATTTGTTTTTGTCCAATTCGTTTTCACAAATACATTTGGTACCTATATATTGATGATCTTGAGAATGTAGGAGAAATTCCCACATAATGATTTTAACTCAAATAACATGCCCTTAGGCCAATGCTTATAAAAAAGGACAACTAAGTGATTCAAGATAAGAATTGAAACACAATTTAAGAGATAACATAAAATATTTATTTAAAAGAGTATAGTCTTGCTATTGGTCAATATTCCAAGATGTTGTAGAAGACTTGTTTTCTCTTGACTTGATGGTCATATTTTCTCCTTCTCAAGTTCATCCATTTCCGGGTGATCAATCCATCTTTGATGACTTTGAACATATCTTCTAAAGATTCATCTATATCAAAATAGATTTTTCGACGTTTCTTAGATACAATACATCACAAGTGATGTATTCAACCTTAATAATAGTAAGTATTCTTAAGAAATTATAGTCTCAAAGATAGTAATGAAATGAGGATTTACCTACACTACCTTTTTCATGATATAACACTTATATTTATTAACTTTATAGGACAACACCTTCTTCTTCTTTTCCACAAAGTCAATGAATAAGGAGATGTTACCTTTTATATGCCTCGAACTTTCCTTGTTAAGATCCCATACCCTCTTCAAGAAGTTAAGATATTTTTCCTACAAAGTCAATCAATAATGCTAGGTACTCAATTTTTATTGGATCCTTGAGGGTGAGTGGAAATATTATTGCACTTGGGAAACCATTGAAATACACATTTAGGAATAAAAAATCTCTTAAATTTGCATTTAGCAATGGTGTGACATTTCTTACAGCAATAGTGACAAGTCAAGTGATGAAGAAAATGACTTTTGCAATTAGTTCTTTTACAATAAAATTATACTTCTCATATGATCCATATAAAGGTCTTTTGAATTTTGTTGGATCAAAGGAGAAAGTAACTTTTGGTTTTTAAAGCCTTACTTAAGTTGGCCTTTAGAGTATTATCCTCATTTTACCAAATGTGACAAGTTTCACAACCAAAGCAAGAAGGTTTCTCATCTTCAATCTTATCTTTTTGAGCATCTATCATGGTTTACTTAAGCACTTCCATTTGTTTTTCCGTTTCTAAAATTTTAGATTCATAATACGAAAAGATTTTCTTATTTGAAGTCAACCTTTTAAAGTGTCTACGGCTTCACCATATAAATTCTCAAATGCAGTTTGTAATTCATAATGAGACATTTCATCAATATGTTCATATTTATAATGTCTTACATTTTTCTTCTTATGATGATGGACCATGAGACAAAGATTTGCCTCTTCGTCGCTTTCACTTGAGCTACCTTCACTTGAGTAATCACTATCACTTTCCCAAGCTATGTATGCTCTTCTAGTTTTACTAGATTTCTTATATTAACCTTTATATTTTTCTTTCTTAAGTTGTGGATAATATGACTTGTAGTGTTCGACTTTACCACAATTGAAACATGAACTTTTGGACTTTCCTTTCTTATTCTCATCATGTTTTGAGGAGTTAACTTGTCTTTTTATAGAAAACAACCCTATTTCTTCATCATCTGACTTCTCATTATCACTAGATCCACTTTCATCGTGCTCTTTTGTTGAGGACTTGGAACTCGAAGCCAAAAGAGCAAATGAATTCTTGTCCACCTCTTTTCCTTTGTTATTTTATTTCTTAACTTTTTTCTCATACTTCTCTAAGCTAATGACCTCTTGCCCATGTTCTTCAAGCTTACCAAACAAAATAGTTGTATCCAATGTCAATAAGTTGTTAGATTCCTTGATGGCGGTCACCTAAGGTTGTCATTCCCTATTAAGACATCTTAAAATTCTGTTAGTAGAAATATCATTGGAAACCGGCTTACCATGTGCATTCAAATGGTTTACAAGATGAGCGAATCTCTTTTTGCATATCAGCAATGGTTTCATCATGCTTGATATGAAAGAGGTCAAAATCTTGATTTAAAATATTGATTCTAGCTTGTTTTACTTCATTTGTACTCTCATGGAAAACTTGTAATGCGTCCCACATAGCTTTAGCGATTTTGCAATGAGAAACACAATAATATTCATCAAATCCTAAAGCGACTATTTGAATATTCCTTGATCTCCAACCACTCGACCATTTTTCTCATCTTCCTCATTCCATTTTTCTTCTGGTTTAGGTACAACAAAACACCATCCCCATTGGTCATAGTTTTATCAAAAGGACCATTTTGGATAGCGCTCCATACTTTAATATCAATAGAATTTATATAGATACGCATACAATCCTTTCAATAATCATAGTTTTCGCCATTGAAAACCGACACTTCATTATACGCCCCTATACTCGAATAAGGGATTTCGAAGTACAAGATAAAACGGTGCTCTTGATACCACTTGTTAGACGAGGGCTACGACCTAGAAGGGAGGTTGAATAGATCGCCAAATAAATATTTTCTTATTAAAATTCTGTTTTGAAAAGTATTTTTCTGTGGCAAGAAAAAGCGAATTTGGATTGACTCTCGTTTATCCGAACTTATGTTGGTAGAATCAGATATGCGTACGAACCGTAG